GAGGATCATGAGTGGAAGTACTGTCAGCATCTGGAGTAAGTCAAAGCTATGCCTTTAGTCTAATTTGTTGCTATAGTTTGTCCTTTATTCTTCACTCTGTAAATTAACTGTGTTTCAGGGATTAGAAAGTAACCTGGATTAGAAGTGCTGCCTCTAAATATCCCTGTAGTTCCTTTATGAAATGTGTTCTGTTTCCACCATAAAAATTCAATGAGTCTTCGAAAAAGTAGCATAAGGTATTGGGGTGGGATGGGAGATTATAAACACTACCATGATGTGGATAGAGAAGAGATCATGATAGACAACCAAGTAGTTTTTCCTTAATGCTGATAAACCTTGATGTAATTTTAAAGCACTTTGCCTTGATGGACAAGGGCCATAATCACTGTATTGTCTAAGCATGAAGGTAAATCGTAAATGAATAATTAATCCATTCTTCTCTAGCATGCATAGAGAACTTTAAGAAAAATATCACACTAAAACCTTGACTGTAGAAGTCTGGGGAGCAATCTGTCTCAATGATAAAATGTTTTATACTTTAAATGTGAAATAAAATTATGGCATTCAAGCCAACTAACATGCAGCAAGAAAAGCCTGGTTTTGTAGGGCCAATGGATTTGAACTGACTTATACTTGTATCCTTTGTGTTAGCTATGTTATGCGCATGAAAGAATTTGAACGAGAACGGCGTTTGCTGGCTAGGAAGAGACGCATTGAAGAAAAGGCGAAAGTTACCATAGAAACCTAATTAGTTTGGGGTGCTTCTCCTTCCTCCTCTTAAACGAAACTTCTGGACTTGATATATTGAAAACAATAAAAACATTTATGTCACAGTTGGGTCTCAGATGTTCACTGTGATTCCTACGATATGAATGAATGCACACCTTGGACCTACAGCTAATAAATATTCATAAATGTCAAGGATCTGTAAGTATTTTCTTGTTGGGAATCCTAATGCTGCATTATCAGTTCTGGCAATTGTGCCAATGAGATGAGTCTAGTTAAGTTCAGATGGAACTGTACCATCTAGTTACTTTTATATTTTCTCTGTATTCAGCAACATAAGCTTTCAGTTTCATTCTGGATAAAGGCAGCTGCTTTTGAACATTAAGTTTGTATACGTTCTGTGCATTTACACTTCTTCACACACAAGCAAAGTTCCCTTTACAAACGTTGGAATTTTTGGAAATGATGAGTGCCGGAGTCCAAAGGCCAATAGATTATGCTATACACACAAGAATTGCTCTGCCTCGTAAGAAATAATACTAGAACATGGTCCAAATTGCAGGTCTGGGGACTGTACATCCTGATTGAATTATTTTATTTATCTAATACGGTTGTTTCTTTCCAGGAAGGAAACATTGGAGCAGTTCTAGTAGAATCAGGACATAAATTACTATAGTGAGGCTATCTTAGTCATAATTGATATACTAGCCTGAACTGCTGAAGGTGCCACGTGCCATTTGTGCTACAGAGGATAATTATGCCTGTAATGTCAAAGATGAATACAGAAGCGTTTCTTTGAATTAGATCTTCCAGGTTGAATCCTGTCTTTTATCTTGCCTGGACTGAGCATCTATTTTTTTGGCCTCAGCTAGTCCATTTCTATAGCCAGGCACTGACTTAGCATTTCCAATGCTTCCCTTTGGTGACAAAGGAAATAAAATGTGTCATCACTGTACTATGTTATCCACATACTGTATTGTATACCTTGATTAACTTGTGGAACCTCATAATATTAACATCATGGAGTAAGCGGAAATCCTTTAATGATACTTTCTGGAGATGTCCATCCATGGATAAGTGGAACCACTCTAAGGCTGTTCCACCTATATGAAGCTTAGATAATTTCTCCCAGAAGAATACCATGATTGCTGGGGTCAGGAGCCATCAAGAAGTGTGGCAGAATCAATAAGGTACTTACTATTCAGTGTCTCTCTCTTGGCAGAGAGAGCAACTGAAATAGTTTCAATGCCAAAACAGAGTCAACACTTCTACTGAACTGACCTGGAAAATCTATTTCATTTGTCTGACTCTAATCAGTCACCACACATTTTTAATACTTTGATCAGAAAGAATTTGTCACTCGCTAATGAGACTTTTTTTAAATGAATGGCATGTTTCTACGAGGATGGATCACTCCTTGTAATAAGAAATGTATGAACTGGACTCAGCTGAATACCCCTTTACGGTAGATGTGATAAAACATCAAGGTCAAGTGAAGCTTGGTTACCAGAATCCAACTAGGCACCTTGTACAGATTTTCAGGCTTTAAAACATTAGAATAACTGACCAGTTAGGGCCCTGGATTTTTGTACTGATTGAACTGCTAAGTTCATCTAAGCCATGATGATCTCGATAGGTTTGTTTTTTCAAACTTTAGAGCCAACAGGGGATTCTATATTTCTAGAGCTAGTTTGGTTTACCAGTTCAAACACCAGGCTAGAAAGTGAGAGACCATGAGTTCAAGTCTTACCTTAGCCATGAAAGCCAGCTGGGTGACTTTGGGCTAGTCACACACTCAGTTCAACCCACCTCATAGGCTTCTTGTGGGGGAAATGGGGGGGTTGGTTGGATGTTTGCCACCTTATTTATAAAAATAATAAAGGTGGAAAACAAACAAATACCCCTAGTTAGGACAGACTCCAAAAGCCATGAATTATGGTATTATGCTGGGCACTGCTGACAGCTGATCATGAGATAATACAGAGTATAGGTGTTCAAAATATTTATTTGAAAATACAGCTCATTAGTGATAAGTTTTTAATTCAATGTATTTATAGTCAGTCCTACTTGATGTGTCATTTTTCACATGAGTTATATTTTGTGGCATATTATTCCTCTGCTCATCCCTCTCCCACCTCTATACATCGAGATGAGAAAATCTGAACTGGGGAGCCTTATCCTGTGGACAACCTAAACGTGCAATTTGTAACATAAATCACACAGGACTCTCAAATCCTGACTTTAAATTTTCCTAGCCAGTAAGATCAATTCCATTCTCCTTATGCAACTATAATCTGTTAGGATGTTAGTGTTGTATAAGACTATATAGTTTCTGGTCCAATTAATTTCAAACCAAATGATATTATATCAAATATAACAGAGGTATCCATTTTTACCTATAGTCTTCCCCAATGTATGAAAAAGTCCTTCAATGTATAATTCCATGCTTTAAAAAAAACAATCTGAGACTGTCCATTGGCTGGATTATTTTTTATTGGTTAGTTTAAATAAAGTTCCACATGAAATGGATTATAGCAAAAAGTCAGTGGCTCATTTAACAGCAGCCTTGGAGCCTAGGTTTCAGATATCACTGCTCACATGCAGCATAACCTGAGACTATGACAAACATCTTGATTGTGGACATATTTGTTTCGAAGCAAGTTCCACTCTACTTCAGATGGGGCTTCCTCCAAATTAAATATACAAGTAGTCCTCTTTATTAGCTACTCATTTAGCAACCATTTGAAGTTGGAATGGCGCTGAACAAGTGGAACTTACGACCAATCCTTGAAGTTCAGGCCTTTGCGGTGCTCCAATCATGCGATCATGATTTAGAGACTTGGCAGTTTCTTGTATTACCACAATTGCAACATCCTGTCATCAGATTATTGCCATTTACAACCTTCCCTGCTGGCTTCCCAAATGCAAAGTCAATGGGGAAGCCAGCAAGAAAGATGGAATATTACTCTAGTAAGTCTCCCCCGCCCAAGCCTTCTTGCCATGCCAGGTATCCCACAACCTTCTTGTGCTCACAGTCTGTTGCACCAGCCACCACCTCCCCCCTTCCAACTCACAGCCTGCACCAACCCTCCCAGCTCCCCCATCCCCGGTCATTACATGCAACTCCTGCCACTTCCGACTTACAACTGGCAAGTCTTGAGGTAATGACAGCAAGTGGGAACTGCCAGGATTGTTGTCGCTAAGCGGTGTGGCCACCTGATGTTGCACTTTATAACCACATTGCTTAATAATGGCAATCCCACTCCCAGCTGCCGTCATAATCCAAGGACTACTTGTATGCAGTATCACAACCTTGGTAACAATGACAAACAGAAAAATAAACAACCTCCTCTCAAGAAGACGGTCCAATCCTCAGATGCTTCAATTCTGTAACACTGAATATTTTCTATAGGAGGAATAATAGGCATTTCCTTATCTCTAAGTGCTAGAAATAGTTATAAATGTCAAAGCAGGATCCACCCCCCCAAAAAAATTTCTCAGTGCACTTGTACATATATTATACAAATTGAATAAGTCACTCAAATGATGCAATTTGTAGCATTTACCTAAATACATTGGTATTAATCACTCTTCCATTTAATGGACAACTGGAAGAAACGCCTTCCCCCTTCATCATCTGATCCATTAAATTAAAGTTTCACTTGTATATCTCCATAGTTGCCCTGATGGTGTTTGTAATGTTCACACATCTTTCAGTGGGCCTGTATTACAGAAAGTTACACAAGTGTTGCTAGTTAGGCACAATATTGTATTTGTTAGACTTGCATTTCAAGAACCTCTTAACTACAGAAGTTAACTACTCTACCATCACACAAAAATGAGTCACTTCAAGCATACATTTCTACTTGGAAGATGTTGTTCACTGCTCATAAGATACTACTAAGAAAATGAAAAGCATTTATGCCAATTTGTATGGGGGACAGAACTATGTATCACCAGAGCTACTACTGGATCATAACTGTTTTCCTTTGCTTCACAGCAGGGAATTTACCATGTCATAATTTAGCTTATGGCTGGGATAATTAAATAATGTGTTCTACCCTTATGAAATTACTTATAATGTCATTCAATTAAGCCATTTTCAATTTTGATTTCAAGCACAAATGCCTACTAATTGAACAAGGGTTAAAAAGGGGCACAAGACCATCTACAAAAGAGATGAAGTTAGCATTGCCACTGATCTTAGTTTATTTCCCTCCAGAAAAAATATTACATTTTTTTAGTACCAAGCATCACTCCGCAATAAAAAAAATAATAGCAATAATATTTACTACTAGGAGAATGCCCACAACTGAGTTAATAGGCTGTGCTGTGCTTTGAATACAAATGCAAATGCAAAACAGTGTTCCATACCACACAGGGCCATGATCACTGCATCAGTCTGCAACTTCTTACAGCAGCCATGCCTTTTCCTGGTTTAGGAATGGCACCATGTGTTTCAAGGCATTTTTCTGCTTTCAAATCCAAAGTGCTGCACAAATGTAGTGAACATTTTTTTCTAAAATTATTATTAATAAGGACTGGAGTTAAGACTGCTATTTTACAGCCTCACTTTTGGCCAAAGTCCAGCTGCCTAGGCTCCATTTTATGGTACCTGCTCTTACAGATATGTTTGCCTTCATGGTAACTGTAGGGAGGTGTTGTTCTAAGTCAAATGTAGTTTTGGAATAGGGACAAAGGACAAAGATGATGGAGGAACTTTAAAAAGGAAGGAATTCCAATAAACCCCTCTCAAAACACAATATGGACAGTGAAAAAAACCCCGTTTTAGACTCCAATGTTAGCTGCTCAAGAAGATAAAAAAATGAAGCTACCAGCCCAGTTTGATATCTTAGTGCAGAAAGAGGCTTAGAGCAGAAAAGGGACGATAGGTGAACGTAGCGGTGGGTAATCTCGGAACTCCTTCAGGTAACTTCGGTGTTTTCCCTTTGCCCAAATGGTCATTTGAATAAATCCAACCAAGGAAAACAGAGCCACTGTTGATAAATAAAGTGTGAAACGTTATTAGGTGTTCAGAAAAGCATTTTCCCTCTGGGCAGAAATTTTTCTTTTTTTAATTAACACTGACTCCTTTTCCAAATGTATTACGTCTTTTAAAAAAAGACTACAGAAACAGAAAATAATACCAAGGATCTTTAATATATTAAACTGGATACTTGTCTTGGCGAATGCTATCTAATTTTGCCCGCTGTTTATTATTATTATTATTTTTATAATTTTTTTTATTTTTCTTTTTTCAAACAGACAAAATACACAATACACAATACATGCCCGCTGTTTAATACAGATACTCCAGAGCTAAAGCATCCCTAACAAATGGAAAGTAGATTTTGTAAAATAGGAGGTAAGTCCTCAGGATTACTAACCCAGCAAGAGGCAGCCTCTTTCATTTAGTACCATTATCTCCTATACTACGTAATGCATGAGAACATCTTCAACTCCTATGTGTGCACTGGTAAAACAAAATAAAGACAATGAAGAGACCAAGTAGGAGAGTGCATAGCTGCTGGCTTGCCTCTCACTGTAAGTAGAGGGATGAAGCTTACTGTGAGACAGAAGCTGTAATTTACTGAGCTCTTGTAATCTTATGTTGGTACCATCTTCGCTGAAAGGCACAAGAAATCTCTTCCGTTTTAAATTCATAGACCCTAATCTACTTGGCAATAAAGAACAGTTCTAATAGAAAAATTGGGAAGGATCAGAAAGAATAAAAATACGTAACGGTACTTCATAAACATTGCTTAATAAAATCCTTACTAAAAGTGACTACAGCAAAGATCTAACCTATTACAAGGACTTACCTGGAAGGCACTGAGTCATGATGGCAAAGCCAATCCAAGACCCTACCTGGAAAAGAAAACATCAAGACTATGTCAAGGAAAATATTAAAACTTGGTAGGCCTGAGCATTGCATTCTTCAACTAGAGCAGTGATGGCGAACCTTTTAGAGACCGAGTGCCCAAACTGCAACCCAAACCCCACTTATGCACCATCGAGTGCCGGGTGGGTGTGGCCCATTGGGTGGGTGTGGCCGCAGTGGTAACGGCAGACTGGGTGGGACTAAAAAGTTCAATCAATCAATTCCAACTTTGCAAGAACTTTTTTTTTCCTGCAAGAAGTTGAAATTGATTGATTGAACCTTTTTTTTTTTGCACGTGGTGGAGGCCTGAAAAGGTTTTATAAAACCCAGCTGAAGGCCTAGGACTGGGGCAACGGCATGCGTGCCCACAGAGAGGGCTCTGAGTGCCGCCTCTGGCACCCGTGCCATAGGTTCGCCACCACTGAACTAGAGTAAACATACAGCTCCATCCTACTATGAAGGATGAAGACCCAACTCGTGCACAAATCCTGACTGTGTTTCTGTACTTGCACTGAAAACTTTCCCATAAACTTTCTAGCCCATCTACAGGGCAGATTAGTCTGTAAGTAGAAGAAAGTACCTATCCTACTCTCAATTCAAAAAGCAAATAGCAATGTTCACACGAGTACAGAACAGGCCTGAAGATTTTGTAGTACACATTCTACACTCTTAGCTCAGGGATAGGTACTAGTCTTAGCACCCATGAAACCACTCTGCAAAACCAGAGTGAGAAAAATATACAAGAAATGAGAGTTTAACAAGAAGTTCCAAGGTCATTTTTAGTATATGAACTTAATTTTTAATATTATTTTATAGTTATTGATTTGAGATTATTGCAAGGCACCTTGAGTCTGCTAATTTAGTGGGATATGTTATTAAATATCTAAATAAATTTGGCAAACAATATGTACACAAGACAAAGCGCACACAAATAATACAAATAAAATATACGTCTTGTACTGATGGAACCTTAAAAAAATAAAAATGAGGATGGATTGACTACTGTAGTAATCTATAGTGCTTGTGGCGTGTTGGTACTGTATTTCTGCTTGAAGATCAAAGAAAAAGGCAGAGATAAGAACAGTCATGCGATTGGTGACTGACAATTGGTAGAAATTGAAATTGAAACGAATGTGTGCCAACCATACACGCTGACTTGTAAAGCGTGATGAATGCCATCGTGTACAGTAAGAGTATGTTGAGTGAACAGAGATGTGTGACAGAATTACTTCCAGTCACTGTCAAGTCCACTGACAGTTATCTCTTCCTCCTAATACATGTGAGCACGAGTGGTACTATTAGAAACAAATCCTAATGTCACAATGAAAATCAAAGCAAAATGCTCAAGACCCTGGGGCCATGATAGTGTTTTAATTCATGCCGATAGGAGAGATTTGCTTTTCAGGGACCGTGAGCTGAATTGTCTGGGTCACTGACTGTGTCATGGTTCCGACAGACAAAGACAAATAAAGCAGAACTCAGAGGTTTGCAAATTCTTCAAAGAACATGTTTATTAGCTACAAAGTATCAGCATGTCAAAAGTGAAACCAAGTCTGTAACAATTCTCCAATGCAAAGTTAAGAAATCCCACCCCTAAGGCTATGCAAGCAACTACGTTCCCCAATACATCTTCTTGGCGGGCTTTTCAGTCTTGGGAGCAACCGATGACCTTGGTTCCCACAGGACAAAAGTTTATTTAAACCAGCGAAGCACCTGGCAATCCCCCCCTCCGTCCTTTCAGTGTGTCAACCGAAAATGAATAAGGAAGATAGCCGCAGCGATGCTCATTTGACAAGTTGACAGTTTGTTGATATGATACACACTGTATCACACCAAATACATTTGGTTGAAACAAAGCAAAATTCATCAGTATGGATTTAAACTGAATCCTATGGGTATTAGAAATGTAAACCTAAGATAAAAATGTACACACTGTAGAGGGTGTAAAACATTGATGTAATTTATTTTCTTCCATTCAATTTTGTCTTGTTTTCAGAGACTGCCTGGACAACCGCCTAACCGGTTTTAAAAAATGGTTAGCCAATGCCTCTTTTCTAGGGCTGAGAGAAAGTGACTGACCCAAGATCACCCACTGTGCCAAAGCAGGACTATAACTCACAATCTCTCGGTTTCTAGTTTGATGCCTTAACTACTACATCAAACTGGTAGGACAAATCAGATTCACATCAGAAATGATAATGCCTCATAGCTTTCACTACCTGTGCACTAATGCATAGAAATCTAGAAAATGAGCCACGAGTCCTAGTACTAGAAGAAAAATGTGATTAAATAAATATAGCACAGACTTACTGGCATCAGTCACATATTAGACTATAGCAATTGAAGGGCTGTTCAAAATCAAAAACAACGAAGAGGAAGGAGACACTGGAGAACAAAATCAGCTTTTCAGTGAAAATGGCAAAAAGCCAACTATTACTCAGCTCCTATTTTGTCTCTATTTTCCCCAGAAAAAAGGTATGTGTATTCCACTGGTAAATGTAAAGACAACATGAACAAAGAGGCTTGAGGCTGACAAATATATTGTCTATTCATATATCTATATCTATTCAATATCTATTCATTTCAAATGAGTATACCTTTCATATTCCCTAAAATGCAACATATTTGGACCTGAAAAATGTTGCTGGTGGATTGACTGAACTCTGAGAAATTCTAGAGAATAGATGACATAAGACTCAATGACTCAGATGTGTTCCTATTTCAGGAACAGGGGAAAGGATCCAAGGGATTACACACTAATCTAATAGGTGGGAAGACTTGAGAGCTGATCTTAAAGAGATTAATCCAAAAATACATTGCAAACAAGGTAATTAAAATAATTAAAAGGCACTAGCGTGAATTTGGTAAGAACAAGTTTCATCACACTCATTCTTTTATTGGGTAATGTCCTTAGCCAATCTGGGAATGCTATAGATTTAACGTATCTTGACTTTAGCAAAGTCTTTTGACAGAGTATCCCATGACATTCTGATTATCAAGATAGTTAAGTGTGAAAGGGATGAAGTGACAAGTGGATACACAGCTTCTCAAAAAACAACTTCAAAGAACCATCTATGGTTTCTCTTTAAACCAGAATGATACATTTAAAGGGGTCCAAAATGGGCTCCTGGGCTCTCTTTACTCTTCCATTTTTTAAATTACTTGGGTAACTTAATAAATTTGAAACAATCTCGATAGGTTGCAGAAATGAATAGTTTCTGCTCATGAGTATGAGGTGGGTGCAAAATGGACAAAATCAATTGTCAAAATCAATCATTAAAGGAATATAATTTCCATTTTACTTAGACTCCACTATATCCAATTTATAAAACATAGAATCACAGGGATGGAACAGCATCCTTAGAGCTCTTCTAGCCCAAGCCCCTGTCTAAGGACAAATGGTTGTCCAATCTTTTCTTGAATACCTCCAGCAATGCAGCACTCACAACTCTGGGGGGCAAATTGTTCCATTGATTCTCACTGCAGGAAATTCCTCCTTATTTTCAAGTTGGATTTCCCTCTTGACAAGCTTTTATCCATTGCTTCTTGTCCTGCCCTCAGGTACTATGGAGAATAAATTAACCCCCTCTTTCCACTGACAGTCCTTCAAGTATTGGAAGACTGTTATCATGTCATGCCTAAGTCTTCTCTTTGTTAGGCTAAACATACCGAGCTCCCTTAATCATTTAACCTCCAGACCCTATCACCTCTGTTGCTCTTCTCTGTATTCTTTCTAGGGCTTCAGTATCTTTTTTGTATCCTAGTGACCACAAGTAGACATAGTAATCCAAATTTGGCCTCACTAGTGCAGTAGAAAGAGGTACTATCAATTCCCACAATCTTGATGCAATCCCTCTATTGATGCAACCTAGGACATTGACTATTTTTTTTGGGCAACTGCAGCACGCTGCTGACTCATACTTAAGCAGTGATCCACTAGGACACTAAATCCCTCTCATAGTTAATACTATTGAGCCTATTACTGTCTATCCTGTATCTGTGATTTGGTTCTTCCTGATTAAGTGCAGGATCATGCATTTCTCATCACTGAACTGCAGCTTGTTGGATGGAGCCCAATTCTCAAGTCTGTCAAGATCTGGAATCTTGAACCTATCTTCCAAAGTGTTAACAATTCCCTCCCAACTTGGTGTCATCTGCAAATTTGATGAGTGCAGCTGGGCAGCTGAAGATGATTTTAGAAAATGTTGAAGAGCACTGGGCCCAAGACAGAACCTTAAGGTATCCCTTTGCGTGCTTCCCTCCACATAGATGTATTTCCATTGAGGACCACACGCTGAGAGTGTTTGGTCAGCCAACTGCAAATCCACCTGGTAATGGTGGTGTCTATCCCACACTGTTCTATCTTACCAAGAAGTAGGCTGTGTCTAATGTATCAAATGTCTTATTTAAGTCAGTTCTGGGTATTATGCCTTACAAAGCATTCAGAGAAACTGTAACAGGTTCAAAGAAATTTAAGAAGCATGATCAAGGGACTAAAACAAAGTTATATAGTAAGGATTTGAAGAAACTGAGAAATTTTAACTTTGAGAGGAGAAGACAAGTATACTATCATATCTTCCTTCAAATATTTGAAGGATTATCATATGCAAGATCGCAACCTACTCTCTATCATTCTAGGACACAAAATAATGATTTTAAATTACAAGAATGAATGAATATTCTAGTTGACTTTTTTTTTTTAAAGGGCTTATCTGAAAGAATAAGTCAGCAGTGAAACCAATTACTGAGAGAAGAAATAAGGTCCACTTTGCTGGATGATTTAAGATGAAACTAGATTTCCATCTGTCAGGAAATTTTAATTTAAGTCAAGGGTGGAGGAAGCTCTTGAGCAACAAAAATTAATCATTCAATTAAAAGACAGGTAAAAGTCATGATTTTCAGACTATTTGCCTAGATACTGTCACTATACCTGTATGTTTCCTGTTAAGCAGAATTCATTAACAAAATACAGATTTAAATATCCATAATTTGTTCCAAAACTAAAACACAGCCGTACCTCATAGGTATAATTGGGGCAAGAGACCAGCAGGAAAAGCCATGTGAATGGGTTCTTCGTAGGGAGTGGGATCTTCCTAGTCTTTGAACCTGGAGGAAATCATAAGAATGTTTATTGAGACAAAGAACCAATTTGCATGCGAAAAAAAACCCTTATCATCTAACATTACGCAGAAGAGTTATAGAAAAGCATCAGACTTGTAAAAGTCTCCCTTCTCTTTATCAAAAGTGACAAAAAGAAGGATCTGTATACTTCACAGAATTTAAAAAAAGAGAGATAAACACAGAAGGATTCTAACATGATTTTAGCCCATAACAAAATAACTTCTCGTTCAGCCTGAGGTAGCTTCAAGCCCACTTCCCAAAAAAAAACCCCTGCAAAACTCTTCCTACCCAAACCTGACAGCACTCTCTTCTGTTCCTTGTTTGCCTTTCAGAGGTCAGGTGACTACCTCTGGGCATCTAAGGCTGACTTGTTATTTAAAGGCTCAGCTGTTCCCACTACAGAGCAGAGGGTGTTTTTAATACGGACATCTGCGCTTCCATTTGGCCCTTCTCTGTACTCACCAGCTGGGCGAAGATTCCGCAGAGCAATGTGAATAGAAAAGTTTCCAAACTGACAGAACTGCAGGAGGAAACAAAACCAGTGTTAGCAGGGGAGGGGCAAGAATTGATCTTTTATGCTTACTATCACCACCAGAAGCCAGATAATGGCACAAAAACCTCCCAGAGCTCACCCCATCCGCGATTCAAATAATTTTGTAGAAATATTAGGAATTTGCTTGGAAGAAAACACAAAACTTTTCATGTGCCAATATAACAAGGGATTTTTTTTTTTTATCACTCATGTCTTCTGGTCCCTAGCTCTGCAGCATCACCCCAGAAGAACTTAACAGCTCTGGTACTAATAAAGCTGTTCTACAATTGTGGAAAAATAAGTTCTGGCTCTAAGACAAGAAACTCAAGACTCAGTATTTTCCAGTACTATAACTAAATAAACTTTAAAAATACATTTGTTGCCTTTTTCCCTTCTCCTGCCTATTTTTTTTTCTCCTTTTGTTGTTTCCCTTGAATTTCTTTGGGGCAGGAACTTGTCTTCTCATTCTTTATAATGCATCACATACATACAATCAACAAATAAGATTGCACAGTATGAATATAGCATTTTTCTACAATTCTTTAAAGCAGTCAATTTTTTTTCCTGAGATCACAGAACTGCCTAATGCAGGAGTCAGATGAGTCCAAGAAAAAAGATGGCTGCCTTCAAAACTTGCAGTAGAGTGCTATATTCACATTTTTGCATGTCTAAAGCACCTTTCTTGAACTGAATTTGAACCACTGCAGAGTCCTACTAACATATTGGCCTTAAAACATGAGCACATGTGTAAGGGGAAAAAAACTTTATCTCCAGGCAATAGCAGCACGATCCATTCCCAAACCAGACTGCTTCATGGTCTTTCCATGCACCAAGAAAGAGAAGTATATTTATATATATTTTACTATACATAGTTCTAATTCCATTCTCCCAGATTTCTTTCAATTGCTACAAAAGGCAATTGATCTTTCCCTTATTTGAGGGAACTACCATGATTTGTAAAAAAAAAATCCAATATTATCAATCTGCGTAAGACTTGGTTGTGTACCACAAACAGGTAGTCATAACTTTTGTTTTTAGATAAACAATTTCTTGATTTTTAACACTTGACTTTGCATGGGAAAGCTTCCCACCTTTGATTGGCCTAGGCTCTGTCTGAGACATCTGCCTATTTTCTACTACATATCCCCTATTTTTCAGGTAAAGGGCTATTCCTCAAGAATCTACAAATTATTACCAGGAATATGATAAGCGCCAATTTCACTTGTTCATGTCCATATGCTGAAAAAAAAAAGAAAAAGAAAGAAAAACACAATTGGAGTAACTACAACTGGAGCGCCTAGAATGTTCCTAGAAGAAAAAACATTCCCCAATGATAGATCTCAAGATTTTCTAACTGAATGAAAGAGAATCTCATGACAGCAACTAGACAGTTATATGTGTAACAGCACATTAATATTCATAAGGAAGGGGAATTATATGGTAAAACAAACCAGCAAATGATACAAAGAATACAATTCACCTATACATTTTTGAAGGTGTCAACAAGCATGTTGCCAGGCTAATGCAAGAGATATTGTATACATGTATTTTCATAAAGCCTTTGACAAAGTTTCCTTACTAAAGGCTCATAATAGGATATATAGATGTATGGATTTCCCCCCCCTCTCTCATTACATTGGAATCCTTTAATGTGAGAAGATTTAGCAATAGAAGAGGGGGAAAAAATCATACCTAGCAGTGTTGAAAGGTTATTGCTTATTATTTTATTTAAAATATAAAAAAAATAGCAGCACATTTAAACGTATAGGCTATAATGTGAACTACAAAAATGAAACAAGAATATGTATAAAAATAACTTCAAATATCAAATAACTTTTAATATGAAATATCTTGATTGGGTGGCATATATATTTTAATTAAGACTTGAAATAATTTGCATCAAACTATATCCTGTGTTCTCTGCACAGAGTCCTATATGGCACATCCAGTATGCTGCCTATTCCCCATACTTTTCATCTTCATAACTTGTGAGATTTGTATAACTAACTTATAACAAACAGGCCCAAAATAATGACTTTGATGTCCAAGAAAGTATTTCAATGAGATCTCCCTAGACCTAGACTGAAACTTGAACTGTTTAAAAAGGAGTCAAGTCCAGAGCAGTAACTCAAAAAGAAAGCATCTCTAAGGGAAAGTATGTCAACTGTAATTCTACGTAAATTGGAAGGGAATGAGTGAGGCCACCCTTCTGATAGAAGTCAATTTAAAGAAAGTAAGGTTAGAGAAATTAGATTACATGAAATTACTTGATCTGAGTAATCCTCAGGTGGAAAGATAAAGAAAAAAATACAGATTTGTCCCTCAGCTAAAGAATACACTTATGTATTTTTCCATTCAAGAAGTTATTAGAGGCACTAAGAACTTGCTTTTTGATCTCTTGGAAATCTTGCTCTACTTCAACAAATATTTACTGTTGCTTCTGATCTGAAGAATTTTACCAGACATTGCTTACATATTTTTAAACTAGTATTTTAAATTAAAGGGCCTAGAAACTTTTATTTAAAAAAAGAAAGCTGGAATGCTGCTCAATTATGTATTTATTCCATTTCTCAAAGCTAGAAGTCTGTACCGCTCCAATGACTAGTTCATCATTATGTAAGTCTATTAGCACTCATTCAGTGAGAAGCATATTAGCTAGGCCACGGGTCGGCTCCGGAGCCTCATATGGCTCTTTGAGCCTTCTCCTGCAGCTCCCTATCCTCCTCCGCCATTTGCAGAGAGAGAGAGAGAGAGACAGAGAGAGGCACTTGCGCGTCTTCTCTCTCTCTCTCTCTCTCTCTCTCTCTCTCTCTCTCTCTCTGTGTGTGTGTGTGTGTGTAAAAGAGAGTGGCCTCACACTGTTCTCCGACAAGCTGACAAGCTTATTGGGTGGGGCTCCTGCCTTTGCTGTGTTTCCGCAGGAAGCAGCAGAAAACAGCCGCTCTCGCTCTCGCTCTCTCTCCCTCTCTCTCTCTCTCACACACACACACACTCACTCACTCACTCACACTGAGTGGGGGAAGGGCAGACCAAGGGAAGGAGAGAGCCAGCCCAATAAGAATGTGTGTCAGCTTGTTGGAGAACAGTGTAAAGCCAGCTTGCCAGGTGAGCAGAAGATTGGAGAGAAAAAGAGAGAGGGGGGGGAAGAGAGAGGGAGGGAGAGAGAGAACTCATGCACAGAAGCCTCCATTTCTTCTTAATTAAACTCTTCAATCAAGTCCCTCCTCCGGCGCGAGTTTTGTGGCTCCCAGTGTTTCCTTTTCTGTGGGAAACGGGTCCAAGTGGCTCTTTGAGTATTTAAGGTTGCCGACCCCTGAGCTAGGCAGAACCCCTTCTTATGCAAGCCCATTCTGAGATTCCCCCCTCCCCCATCCAAGTACACACTTCCGGTTAATTACAAGGAAAGAAACATTAATTTCATTTAACACTCAGTTTCTTAGAAATCAAATGGACTTCTTTAATCAACCGATATTCTTCTTTTCTTAGCTTACCAGGTGGGGTATACAATGGGTGATTGATGTAATATGCCATCCAGGCTGCAAAGCCCCAATAGTAAGTGCAATTCTGAGGAAAGAATTAAAAGTATCACGTTAAAGATGTAATAGACTAGTAATAGTATATCAAAAAAAGGACTTGCTGACTGCATCAGTTTCATTGCTCCGTGAAGAGACCCAGCAGAAAAGGAGGGCAGTTTTTAGTCTACAGCTATGTTGCTTGAAAATGTCATTACCTTGAAGATGTTACGTAAAGGCATTGTTCCATGGGAGAATCTGTGGACAAAAAGGGTCTCGAGGAGGCGCTTGACATAATGGAAAGAGTGACAAATGCAAGCCAGGCTAGAAAAGAAAGGAAAACAGAGATGGCTAACAATAGAATCGTTATCTTACCCCCCAAAATATATAGATGCTATTCTACTGTATTTGATTATCATCAGCCAAAGGATAAGGTATATCCACATTTCCAAAGTTAGTTAATCTATTTATTATTTACATTTATATGGCCACCCATCTCAAATTCTTCACTCTAAGTTGCTAGTAGCACATAAAAGCACTACATAACTATACATAACAATAAAAATACCTAATTATTTTTTTAAAAATAATCAGCAGTTCAGGTAAAAACCTAAATAACCAATCAACAAACAAACAAGCACAAGCACTGCATAAGCTTTGGAACACATCCAGCTTCCCAATGGTGGCTCAACCATGACTTTAAGGTAGGGGTGCACAATTAATTTCCCCAAGGGGTCACATGAGAAACTGGGACTCTTGTGGAGGGCTGTTACCACCCCACCTCCTGCTATTGCTGCCCTGCCACTTGCTGCTGCCCCACCCCCCACTGCCCCACTACCCTGCTCCCATCATCCTGCCTCTGCTATTGTGTCGCACCTGACGCCACTGCTGCACGCTGGACGCCTGTGGGCCGTAAAATGCCCAGGCCTGTTTTAAGACCTTACATAAGGCTAGCTGGATTGGGGCAAATCTAATCTCTGGGGGATAATGTTCTAAAGGTCCTCTTCTTGGGCCCTGCAAAATGATATTCCCTAATAGACAGGATTTTTAGCATCTCTCTCCTGCTGGGTATGATGGGATGGGTGGGTATAATTGGAGAGAGGTGATCTCTCAAATACTTGCCTTATGCCATGAAGGGTTTTATTATTTTGGCCATGTCATGGGATCAATAGGAACTCAATGGAAAAGACAGTTTTCAAGTAACTGAGCTGGAGAAGCTAAGATAGACAGAGAGAGTAGCAGCAGAGGCAGCAGAGGCCTTCAAGGATGATGGTGCATCTCATCCCAACCATGATTCCTCATTAATTACAGAAAAATAAAACTCCTTTAGGGTAGGAGGAACTCCACCCATGGAAAAGGAAAGAAAGTTTAAGAAAGAACCCACTCTTTGTGACTGAACACATATATTGCCTCATGGAGAATGCTTCTAGTAGTGAAGAACTTTAGTAGTAGGAATTCTATTATTATTCTATTATTAATTATTCTGTTCTATTATTGAGCTATCCTATTATTATATTTCCATCATCCTTAGACAAATAGAAGTGGAACAGGCTCGTCAACCATATGGGGACTTGTCCTCCCACTGTGAAGATGCAGACATCTTGTGCTATCTAGATAGATAATGCTGGACTAGACCCAGTAGATGGGATGCACATTAGTACTAACAATGTGAAGAAAAGTAGGCAGGCAGGCCTGGAAACCAAATTTAGATTGCTGGGTAAGATGTTGAAATTGAAGACTGCTGAAATGACTCTCTTGGAAAGTTATCTATTCTACACAGATTGCCAAATAGGCAAACAGAATTAAGTCATTATAATGCAGGGATGACATAATAATGTCAGGAGCAGCAGCTTGGACTTGTAAAATAATGAGAAAACCTTTAATATGTACAAAACCAAGCCTGTACAAAACCAGAATCAGAACAGTATCAAAATTCTGGTACATAATATCAAAAAGCTGGTGGGAAAACTTTTCACATGATTCTGATGGGAACGCCAACAAGATGTAAGGAGCGTGGGGTAAGTAAATGTTAATGGAGATCTAACAAAGTCTTGTAAGATACAAAAAGGAACAAGAAAGGGATGTCCACTGTCCTCTCTTACTTATTTTGGTTCTGGTTATTTTGGTTCTGAATAGAAATGACAAGATGAAAGGGTTGTAGGTATAAAATTAAAAAAAAACTTCTTTTTTTAAAATAAATGGTTTTTGCAGATGACTGGCTTTTGAAATAGCCTTTAAAGGGAGTTGAAATATTAATGGGAAAACTAAAAAAAATGGTGCAAGATTTAAGATTAACAAATAGAAGACGTTAACAAAAACATGAAAATAGAACATCAAACAGAACTGAAGAATAAAACAGGCTTTAAGACTGAGAAGTAAAATATTTGGGTATCCCTAGGACAAATATGAACTGTATGTTGTTTCAAAATAACTATGTTAAGACATGGAATGAAGTTTAAAAAGACATTTTAAAATGTAAGAAGCTACAATTGTAAGTGCTGGGAAGAATTTCTATTGACAACAATGAATCTCTTGCCTAGAGTATTTTTGTTTCAGACAATACTGTTTAGACAAATGATGTTCCATTTAAACATGGCAGAAAAATATATCTAAATTTGTGTGACAGAGAAAAAAGAGGGGGGGGGGGAGAGTATTGGAATGCTTTCCAACTTCTGTACAACTGAGATTAGAGATGATCAGTAATGGCCATGTTTGCTGTTCATAACCAATGTTATAAAGAATCTTGTAAATATACTTCAGAATACCAAAAGAAGTTCAGTATAAAAAAGTGTAAAGTAATGTTGCCTCCCCCCTCCCCAAAAAATTCAACTTTTAACTGTTAGCTAAAAGGGACCTGAGTGGAAAGGGAATAAAAAAAGAAAAGCTTTTGGAAGCTTTGGAAGGGTGGCGAGTTAATAAACATGACAACTTTGTATTGCTGCTGAAAAAAGAGAAAATAACGTGTTTGGAATTATTGGGAAGAGAACTGAACATAAAACTATGACTATAATAATGCCTTTATACAAACTTATGATAAGACCATCCCCAACAGTACTGTGTATAATTCTGGTCAAGACACCTTAAAACACTATTACAGAATTAGAAACAATGCATAATCAAAATGATTAGGGCAGCGGTCCCCAACCTTTGCAGCTTGGTAGCCAGCTTTGGGGGAGGGGGAGAGAAGGGAACTGGGCCAGGTAAGTGGCAGGCTGGCATGCATGCACGCAGACCTTGTGCGAATGGCGGGCCAGGCGCACGCACACAGCTCAACTTGTGCGAGCAGCAGGCCGGAGTGTACGCACACGAGTGCCTGCCAGCCCACCACTCGTGCAAGTTGAGCTGTGAACACGCCCGCGCATACTCCGGCCAGCCATTCATGCGGCCTAATTCCGATCAGGCCACAGCCTGGTAGAGGATAGAGTTGAGGACCACTGGATTAGGGCACCGGATGAGTTCTCTTATGAGAAAAGACTATTGCACTTACAGCTGTCACTTGCAATGAAGGTAATGATAACAATATATAAAATCATACATGCCAAGATATAGCCAAAGTGTACGTTTTTTCTTTCTCTCTCACAATCTTAGAAGGTGAGGTTATTGAAACTAAGTTCAGCGAGATTCAGGATTGATAGAAGGAAGTTATTCACATATTGTTGATATGTAGAATTTGCTATCAGGAGTTCTGACAATAAGCACCCAATCTGCATGGTTTTAAAAAAGTCTGGGCAGGTTTATGGAAGATCAGAGTATCGATGATTATCAATATAGAAAGCAACTTATTACCCCCTGAATCCAGTGGTGGGATTCAAATATGTGAACAACCGGTTCTCTGTGTGGATGCCACTTCTGGAAGTCCATTCTGGGCCTGGGCAATAAAAAATTAGCTACCGGTTCTGCCAAAGTGGTGTGAACTAGCTGAATCCCACCACTGCCTGAATCATAGCAGTGTGCTTTCAATACTGATTACTGGAATATATAAGTAGAAGGTGGCAGTTACTCCTACCTAAATTTGTGAGCTTCCAAATGCATCCAGCTGGCTATTTTATTATACAGAATGTACCTTTAGTCTGATGGAGCAAAACTTTATGTCCTTATGTGATATTTCAATAATACCCAAATGCAAAAAGGAATTCAATATTCAGACTAATTCTTTTCTGCCAACTCTAGAAATGTCAGTTGGAATACAGGGAAGTTTTCCTTTACAAGAGTAAGATACAGTATATGAAGGGAAATGTCTAGTCCTAGCAAGGAAGGAAAATGAATTAAGCTTGGGGCTGCCCTTCCTTGGAGAAGATCTCAATTCACTTAGTGGAAAAATATTCCAGTTTAAATTAAATGTAAGCAGTAAAATGGCTGTGGTGGCCTGTAAATACTCACTGAACAACAGAGTACTTGCTGGAGCTGAAGTCATATCTTGAGCCATAAATAAAGGGAACCCGGAAATAAAAGAGCAGGTAAATGAGGAGGGGCCCAGCATACTCTGTGAGGAATACCTGACAGAACAAAAACAGGATGTAGAAAGGCAAAAGGAATTCACAAGGAAGTGTTTTCTTGAGGAGAACTGAAATACCACTCACAGTCACCCAGCTGATCTGTGCACCTAAATCCCGGAAATACAGTGTTGCTGTTGTACCAACTGGCAAATTCTGAAGGATATCTTCATCCTTCAAAGACTTTCCCTCTAGAAGAAAGAGAAATCACACTGAAACTCTGCGGGACTAAGAATCTTGATTTGAACATCAAACACAGTAGTTGCTTGTTTGGCTACACAACAGAGAAGAAATTGTTAGCCTGACATTCTAAAGGACAAATATTTGTACAGTAACCCAAGATGAAAGATGCTTAATTATCTTCTTACTTTATTCGTGAATCAAACAATTAGCAATTAACTATTGGTAGGTAAATATTTCTTTCAAAGAGGCTCTTCTTGTGAATTCCCAAGCCGCAGAATGTTCACACCAATGTTATTCTCTAATACAATCTCATTCAAGTAAATACCAGCTTTTGTTTTGTTCTTTTCCAAATCTTTTACCAAAAGCTTTATCCTAAAGCGAGAAGTCAAGTATTAGAGGAGATATTTTAGCATAGCAACTTACTGGGATCTAGTCGCAGGGACTGCCGGGCTGGATACCATTGAGGGTCTGAGAAAAGAAAAAGAAAAAGTTTTCTTATAATGAGTCAGAACCATTAGCACCATCCATTGGCAGCACTCAAGAGCAATCTAGAGATGTGAAGGTAGACAAAAAATTATTTGCCCCAGAGTTTTCATGAGAAAGAGAATTTAAAAATTAGAGAAAAATTACTCATTCTAGATCAATGAATAACATTTCCAAATAGTGTTTTACAGTATAATCTATACATATTGGGTATATAACTAAACTCATAACTGTTACTATTTCTTTAAAGGTGATATACAAGTTTAGACAGATAACCTACATGGCCATATGGCAGCTGAAGCCCAACAGATCTGGAGAGCACTAGAAAATTGATGAAAACACAAACAAATCTTAGATCCTCTTGTCAGCTTCAGATTCCTTTACCTTTCATAGCAAGTAAAAGTAAAAGTAACCGGTCAAGAAATAAACCAGCATGAGGGGGGAAATACTCTTAATCTAGACATTTTTCTTTCTCAACTCCGTAAAGGGACAAAAAAGTTAAATTCATATGCTGAAGTCATTGATCTTTGAACAGTGATTCTAATCAAAGAAAAATAAAATAGTTATATTTTCAAAGATGTGCCATTTAAGTGATGTAATAAAAGTTTTCAATAGCTAATTTTATTAATAAAGTAAGGTGCTCTGCACTTACAACACTGAAACCCATCACAAAGATATGATAAACAACAAAGATGGTATTTTTCTATACATACGAGACTTGGTAAAGAGATTCTTGATTTCAGCTATGGTAGCATTGGGCTCTACCTGAAAAGGAAACACAGAAAAGGAATCAAAAAACCAATGGATACTGTTCTGTATAATCAAATAAGACTGCTTTGATTCAACTGCTTTCTAGCCTGACAAACAGGCAACAACAACAAAAATGCCTCAGCCATAACAAGTGCATATACAAATTATGCCTAAACTGGAAATATACCACCAGCTTGTATCAGCATGTTAAGCAAAATAACACCAGATGAGTCAATTAGAAAATTTAAAAAGCTGTGATGAAACAATACTCTCTCAGCACCCCAGAAACACTGCTAGAGATAACAAGTAAGAAATGTGCTTCTGTCTCACACACACTTCTATATTCTTATCAGCCTAGTGGCTTGCACCCCATCTAATAGGGTGGTGCAATAATTTGGATTCAGTCCAGATGGAGTCTTTGGAATATTGAAAAGCACGTATGCAACCATTGTCTGTGCATTTGCAACTTTTTCTATGGTTGCATGGCTGCTACAGAAGTTTCTCCACTACAGTCATGCAATCCTAGGGGGAAAATCCTTTAATGAGTTACAAACATCTGGCACATTCATGTTCCCACAAGTTTCAAAGAAAATCCAAAGCACTGCATACACCTAGCTTCTGGTCAATAGGAATCTGTTAGCAAAGGTATTAATCCCTTTATGTTGTTCACAATCACTTTTGTTAAGAACACAACATCAAGAATGTGGTTAGATGTTTTGTTCTCCCTTTCTTAGTAACCTTTGTTGCTGTTATTTTGTATAATTTATTATATCTATTTTAATCATTTTACAGTAAGAAGTGAATGTAAACTTGTTCTCTTCCATCTTGGAAGGCTATTTCTGTGGTCCAGAATAGGTTTGGATGAAATGACTTAACAGTCAAATGATAGTGAAACTAACTTCTTAAATCAACACTGATGTCACCAATACTGACTGCCTAATGTAACTTGAAGGCTAGTGTTCTTTACAGTGTAGTGGCACACTCATAAAATTTATAAAGCAACAAAGCAACTTTACTGCAACCAAGAGACTTCTCATGTAATAAAAACAATTAGCACGTAGACTGTGTTAATTATATTTTCATCCTGCCTGTCATATATATAAATGTTTTGGTCAACTAGAGGTATAGTAAGCATATCTAATACTCCTGCCTCTTATTTTCCCCCAGAGTATATAAAGGCATATTAATATACTAATACATAGTTCATTAATGCCAATATATAATTATAACAGTATCATGAGTTCAAAAAAGACACAAAAAGTTCTCAAAACAGTAAATGGTTCCTACTGTATATGATTTTTTCTTTGATGAAAAAATTTAAGAAGATATAAGAAAAGTGTCAAGTTGGGATTAGCTAAACTTCAAAGAACTGATCAATTCTTGCTGGAAGTTATAAATGTGTCTGGGAACTGTACTTCTTGGAAGCCATAACATGGAATGAATACTTCCTGCTTGATTCTTGAAGAACTCAAACCCAGCCCCAATAGGAAAGATATGCATGTGAATGTGAAGATACCGGTATCAATAGTGTTTACAATCAGAAAAAATAAACTACAAATGTTGTAAATTTTCATTTGTTTCTGTGTGCCAGAATATCTATCTATCTATCTATCTATCTATCTATCTATCTATCTATCTATCTATCTATCTATCTATCTATCTATCTATCTATCTATCTATCTATCTATCTATCTATCTATCTATCTATCTATCTATCTATCTATCTATCTATCTATCTATCTATCTATCTTCTCTTCCTCCCTCCCTCCCTCCCTGTCCATCCATCCATGCATCCATGCATCCATCCAAGCCAGTGCAACATAAGGATCAAAAACTAAGCATTAAAAGAAATCAAAAAGGGAATATGTCCATGGTTAATATAGGCTGGGAAAATCTTTGCAAATCTAGGCACTCTTCCAAATGTTTACAAATAAAGCTTTCCTTTTGTATTATCCAATGTTTTCTAAACATCAAAACCATAGACCAAAAGTTCATTTTTTTCTGTTCCATACAAAAAGTCTATAGGGGGTTTCCCCTCAGAAACAAATGTAGATATTATCTTTTCTCTAATGAAAGAAGTTAATTTAGCCATTTCTGCAAGTTTATTATCTTTTCCAACTATTCCTGCATTACGGGCAGTACTGAACCTTTCCACTTTTGAGCATTTTAATAATCTTACTTTTTAAAACTTCCTTTTTATGACCCTGTAAACTCTATTCGGGGTAGAGTTGGGGCAATTGGATGGAGCTGAGTGTTTACTGGCTGGATGTCCTTCCTGACGCCTAGAGGAGTTTGCATATTTTTTTTCTTTGTGCTTTGTGTTTCTAGGAGAGAAACCTCTCCCACTACCTAGGATTGAACTCTCAACCTTCTGAGTGGGAGGCGAGTGTCTTCACTACTAGGCCACCACGCTGCTCTATATAATCTCACTAACATTATATATATATATATATATATAAAACATAGTTACATGACTTTTTCCAGCTGTTTATTCATCAGTCCCCAGCCTCTGGTTTCAACTGTATATTAATCTTCAAAATCTTTTCTGTTTAAAGTTTTAGAAGGTAAGAATTTTGGAGAGAATTTTATAAAATGGGTGACAATGATCTATAATTCAAAAACAATACAAACTGAGGTTAAATATTTGGATATTATTATGACAAATTTGAATAATTATATCTGTATTAGCCATTATTAGACATAATATCTGAATAATCCAGGAATATCTCAATTCTCTTCCAAAACTCCTCTGGATTTGGGTATAACTGCTTGGTAATTACTGCTGCCAGCACTACTTCTATTGGGACATCTTTACCTGGTATTATCTCTCCTAATCCTGACACATGAGAGAGATAGAACCCCTGCAGCCTATAGATTTATTTCCAAGTTTAAAAAGAAAAAAAATGATAAAAGTGAAATTTATGCAGGTTGAAGTGACTATGTTATATGGCACAGAAGACATTTTAAAGATTTTGTATGGCACAAAAGCATGCAGGATATACGTATGTGAATGCTATGTAGGTGAATAGGAAACAATTAATGCCAGTATATAATTATAACAGTATCATGAGTTCAAAGAAGACTACAAATAGGTTTAAACTCTTGGCTACCTTATTTTTTCATCCATGTGGAGCAGGTGGAAGTTGGGGCTCTGGGCAGTTAGGAATTGATGACATACTTACTTGAGATGAATATGGATGCTGCTTATTCTTGTTTTGCTGTTATTATTGAGTTGAAAGAATTTTGAAAATATATGCTCGTCTTTTTTCTCTGTGGCTGATTTATTGTTATATCCCTTTTGTAAATTCCTTATATTTGCTTGATTAAAGTGACTTAAAAATGCTTGTGATAAACTAATAATAAAATGGGTGTAGGAATGTTGTGCTGGAATTCTGAGTTGCATTTTTATATTTTTAGAATTTTTAGTCATTATGCCTAGCAGCCATACATTCACACACAGAAAAAAGGTTAACTTATTGATTTGTGCTGCCCTACTACAAAATAGTACAGTAAGGTCAATGCATGGCTATGGAAGACAGTAGCACTTTAGTAAAGAAATCTGTTACTGGGACATAAGACTAGGGTCCAAATGCCATACATGGCATACAGCAAAGTGGAAAAAACTAGGATTATGTTTTGCTGACAACTATCGCTATTTGGAAGTTACTCTAGTCTCATCTCTATATTTAGTCTCTTTGCTTCCTCAACAGTTAATGCAGGAGTCTCATTTGTCTGAAAGGATTAACAATACCCATAGGAATCAAAATGAAAAAGGGCAAGCTGCTACTACCACCCAGTGCTGACACAAAACTGAACTGCCATGGTTAGTAAATCTTTGGGACAAAAAAAAAAAAGAAGAAGAAGTGAATTTCCCTCTTTGGTGCTCTCCTTCTCCAAATCTGTTTTTCCTTTCCTTCCTCATAAAACATGTTTCTTACCTTCCCAGTTTATCTCATCCAAAGAATGTACATTTCAGAAAGAATGTCTCTCTGATCCATTTTATTCAGAAAAAGGACTGATAATGCAAATGCAGAGAGCCATTTGTAACTAAGGGGTCACCATATTAAGGGTTCAAAATCCTCCCTCTAATCAGATTGGCTAGCACTTTTGGATGGGATTTATCATTCTTTGCAATGACAAATTCCACCCAGTAGAACCGTGTCTGAAAAATTTACCTATCTTACAGATAGTTTTGGTACTGGGTCTTTGAGTTAGTTCTTGAGCCAAAATGCACTAATATCTATTTTATACAAGAGTCCTTACAGTCCTGAATCTTTAAAGATTGAAAAATTGGCCAATAGGAAATGTTCTGTGGACTGTATTTTTCGAAACAAACAAAAAATTTGAAGTCCACTCATTTATGTTTCCTCAAGCCAACTAGATACATGCGTAAACAATTATAACATTTTGTTTCATTATCTTCTAAACCAAAACAACTTCCATATTTTGGGGATTCGAATATATCCAAAATCTGAAGATGGATCTAGTTACAGTGATAGACATGCAGATCCAGAAGAATTATTTTTTCTGGTAAGTTAACCACTGTCAGTGATTATGTAAGAATGAAAGTGGGATTGAAGATAACAAACTGTTTTCAATGCTTTAAATTTCTGTTTTTCATTTATAATACAAATCCATTTCCATGGAGTTAGGGTTCATGCCTTTGTTCCTTACTTAGGGTCCACATAGAGAAGTATCACATCAGCATTTTTTTTTAAAATAAAAACTCTACTGTTGGTCACATCATATGCTTATTGTTCTCATAATTCTAGAGCTGTCCTACAAAAGGTCTTGATATCAAACAGCCTAAAAAATGAATAACACATTCAGATCAGAAATAGGTGGCCATGATTATAGAGCAAATTGGACTTAAACAGTATATCACACAACTGCAAAACAAAAGTATTTCTTATAATTTTGCAACATGCGTATTTGCATGTTGATAGCAAATATTGATATATTTTGCAATTGACTATAATTTCTTTGCATGAATATCTCACATTGCTAACTACGAGTCCTGCATATGTAGATCTTGCTTTCTAACTGAAGTTCTGACTTCATGTATATTTCATTCAAGCTTTGATTTATGGCAGTTTTTAGTAAATATCTCACTTTTTCAGTATGAAAGTACAATACTATATTTTTTAAAGACTAAAGCAATTCTAAAGTTCTGCAATGACAAAAAGCCAACTTCAGCTTCACATCCCTCTTCCAAGATTAAGACCCTTACCTTATCCAGGAAGCACAGCTTTTCCCGGTTCTTGGCATCCAGGATCTCCACCTCAAAAAAAAGAACACCCCTTTTAGATTTCTTAGTAGAATGATGTGGCCCTAAATCATTGATATTTCTTTTAAGAGGTGGACACCCCTCCACAGACAACAATCTCCCATCCATGCCTCTTCACAAAGCAACAAATCCCAAAGAGTAGGTTCAGTTCAACAAATTTGTTCACAATAACCTTCCTTCCCTATGATCAAAATTTAATTATGGATCATTTCTGATCTGTGTGAAAATTTGAGTCTCAAAAAAAAAAGAAAAAAAAAAGCTCCTGCTGAGATTAATACTCAAGGTTCAGCCTTTCAAGCAATTCAGCTCAGCAAATAAGGGGCCTTCCCTTTTAGTCTATTCTGTAGGTTGTGTTCCAAGGCGTAAGTCGATAGCATGGTAGCTAAACCACTACCCTTCTCAGCTAAATATAAAACTGAGCCCAGCAAAAAAACTTCTTGCAAGCAGCCTCTTGGAGAGTTAAGTCAGATCAGGAAATGTTAAAGCCTTTTATTTTTATTTTATTTATTATGAAATTTATTTGCCACCCATCTTGTTTCAAAGTTAACCTTTCATTCAAAGAGACCATGCCAACACATTCATGTTCAGATTTCACAAGCCATCTTTTGGGGAGGAAAAGATACTCGGAAAATTCTCCCTTCAACTGCACATTAATATAGGGGGGCTGCTTGGCAGAACTAACAGTTTCTAGGATCTTATCCAGCTCTCTAGTGATATTAGAGCCTAGAATTTTTCTCTGCCCAGGAGACCAGGAGTTCCTGTTACAGTAACACAATAATTGAAACAACAACAATTCCTAGGTATTTTTAGGGGTGGGGAGAGAAGTGTATCATGCTAGGACAAATTACTTAATGCTTGCTGTGGCACATGGAGCTGCCATGAATATAATTGGAAATTTCAATAGATACAAAAGATGGCTGCTAAGATGTGGTCAGAAACAAGGCAGTCAGCTTGTGCGACATCAGTCTACAGTGGTTTTATATGTTAATGATCTGTTTCTGGGCTGTCCTAAACACCCTTAATAATAGAAGACATTTAAAAGAAATCTACTACTGGGTTCTCCTAGCAACAGGGGGCATGGCAAGTTTGGCTGACTTGGTCTCAAGAGCAGGAAGACAGAGCAAACCCATTGGTGGATTCTCCATCTCCTGTGCTGGAGAACAGCCAAATTCTTTACAATTCTCTATTGCAATATGATGTATCAAACATCCACATAACTTGAATTATTTCTTAATGCAGAAAATATACATGAAAAAACACATTGACTAGAACTTGTTTACAATAACTATAGATTGTTTGCTGTTTAAAAATAACTAATTATATCATTGTTTTAGAGATATTTCCTTACCAGAGTCCTCAACGCTTTCAACAATGGCAGAGCTTCTAATGCAGGGGTGTCAAACTGCCGGCCCGTGGACCGGATGCGTCATGGCAAAACCGTGCCCACCCCATTGCCGCCAATGGAAAAAAGTTGCAATACGTTGCAACACGTCACGTGACGTTGCGAGTTTGACACCCCTGTTCTAATGTAATTGAAAAGTTATTAAAGGGAGATATTCAGAAATGTATATGCCTTGAAAGTAGCCCACGTTGCACTGTATATCATAATCAAACATCAACAATTGACTTCAGGAAATATTTTATGACATTTTGTATGATGTTATAATATGCTTTATAGTAATTTTTATGATATAATTTTTTTTATAAAATTTGCCAAATTTCAATTCTACAGGAAACATGGGTCCAGGATTTTGGACGCATTCTGTAAGTTAGCTCATTTGAGGTACCATAGTTCAAAAAGTTTTTCTCTATGATGCATTGTTTCACCCAGTTAAAGGTTACAGACACAAGAGTTTTAGTAGTATATATATAAATTTGTAGACTAATTAACAGAATATGCTGAAATATGACTTAAACTAGTTATATAGGACCTAATAACATAAAAGGTTACTTTTACTTTTTAATAACTCTGTTTCAGTATTTCTACTCAAGTTTTGAAATCAGATTTTTTTGGGGCAATTTTAAGATTGCACAATAGTCTGTCTAGAAAAGTGTGTCAAAGTCCTTTGTAATATACTTTTAATCATGCTTTGAGAAGATTTTATTTCAGAAAAATTTTCAATATTTATTTTGTAGTTTGCTACTGTTTTTATCACTATTATCTGTGAGAATGAGGACACCAAGTAGATTTAAAAATGATAGAACTAAAAGTCTATATTCTTATTTCTTTGTATAAACACAGTGCAACAGACAGGATTATAGACCCTTCCCAATTACTTTGCAAAACATAAGGTGACCAACTCTTAAAATGAGACTATAGTATGTGTTCATACAGAATACCATGCCATAATTATTATAATATACTGTATATGCTTATTCTTTTCAGCAAATACTTTGTTAGGTTGCAAGCAAAATTTTAAAAGTTTACCAGCCTGAACAGACAGGTAGTTCTCACTTACCAACTGTAACTGGGATCAGTGACTCTGTCACTAAGTGATGTAGTCATAAAGTGAAATATCATGTAACCACACCCAGCTTACATTCGAATCCCATGCAGTTGTTACATACAATGTCATAGGACCATGACTTGTGATTTCTTGCCAGATTTGCCACTGACATGGTTTGTTGGACGCCAATTGTGAAAATCACAAATCACAATCATGTGTCTGTGGGTTACTGCCACCAGTAAATTAAAAATCCACAATGGGATTCTTTTCTATTTTGTTATGATTTATACACTTTACTTAGCCACTTTAATTATATGAAACCTCCATCTTCAGAGTCTATATACTTCTTTATGTCCGAAGATAAGGACACAATATTAGGGGGGAGTGCTGTTATCTGTTCAATGTTATAAATTACAGGTATGTTATGAACTGGGCTGATCTTTAACTTAATTGTTCAGAACTCTGTTACTTCTACTGGGTCCAATATACCCAGAAGAAGTAGAACCACTCCGATATAATGACTCAATTTTTCAATATTCATAGATATTCCAAAAATATGCTGTTGCCAGCTATACAAAAAGCCACTGAGACACCTTGGAGGTCAAAAATACTCATGTTTCAAGTCCTAAGTCACCTATGAGAATCAATAGTGTTGACTACCTTAACTAGGTCTCTCAGTCCTTTCCCTGCTCACTTTAACTGGCAGAGTTTAAGATCATAGAGAGCAAACATAGCTAAGTTATCAGGTCCTTAAAATTAAATTATCAATCAATCCAAAGGAACAACAATTATGATACTCCAAAAAGCTTTTTAGAAATCAAAGAACCTAGTCCAAAGAAAAATAAATAGAAGAATGTAAAAGCTATCTCCCTGTCTGTTAAGTATGCACCATCATATGTCGAAAATGTCCAAGATTGCTCACATGATCTCTGGAAACTTGATGTGTGAGAGCAGAGGCCATGAGGGATTTAAACTTTTTATAGCAAGTTCATTAGGTCAGGTTATGTTTCTTCTAAAAGTGAAAAGGATCCAATAAAACATTGAAAATTTAAAAAGGGGATCTGCAGTTTGATATTAAGTCTAACATGAGCCTTACTATCATTTCCTGTTCAAACAAAATGAATATTCTGTTTAATTACAAAATACTAAATTCCAATACCCGATACTAGTTTTCTTATTTTATTTCAGGCCCTAGTTTATTACTGTGAATAAAGCAACAGGATTCATCTTCTACTCTGATACGTTAAAATACCTAGAGGACAAGCAAAAGTGAAAGCATGTAGGAGCTATTATTTTGACACAGTTTTAGCCCAATGAGTGACAAGTCCTTTGCAAATCAGCTGTAATTATCTTGCTGTTCATCAAACTGGAAGTGCAATACAGGTCATCCTCAACCTATAACCATTCATTTAGTGACTGTTTGAAGTTATAACGGCACTGAAAAAAAGTGACATGACTGTTTTTCACATGACCATTGCAGCATCCCAATGGTCACGTGATCAAAATCTGGATGCTTGGCAACTGGCATGTATTTATGACAGTTGGTCACGTGATCCACCTTCTGCAACCTTCTGGAAAGCAGAGACAATGGGGAAGCCAGATTCACTTAACTGTAGCAAAAACATTGTAAAATGGGGCAAAACTCACTTAACAACTCCAGTGATTCACTTAACCCAGGGGTAGGCAACCTTGGCTCTTTTATGACTCGTGGACTTCAACTCCCAGAATTCCTGAGCCAGCATGGCTGGCTCAGGAATTCTGGGAGTTGAAGTCCACGAGTCATAAAAGAGCCAAGGGTGCCTACCCGACTTAACCCAACCAAAATTTTGGGCTCAATTTTGGTAAGCCAAGGACTACCCGTAATTGGGCCTCAAACGTTTGCTAATGTTTGTCTCTTAATATTCTATGCTTTCAGAATAAGGTTACTAACAATGGCAGGATCTTGAATTAGATTAATCATACTATTATACTTCACTTTACAAAGCTTTTCTTATATTAAATAAATGTAGCCGTCACTCCTCCCAAAAGACAGAAACATAATCTCCTTCTTCTCTTATTTATATAAGAGCTTAGCTCTTTGAAATTAAGAACTGTCTTGAATGGGACAAACATTTGGAGTCTGTTCAGTATGTCCAACAGATACCAAGGACTAGCTCCAAACAGGGGTATTAATAGAACTGAGCCTCAGAGAGGAATGGTCACTCTCATACCTCAGAGCTTCTAGAACAAAGAATTTATTCCAGTGGAAAGCAACACATAGATCATGCTGACCAAATTAAACCATTGTAAACTACAATCAGTTGCGCAGCAAGAATTGAAGATAATATGATCTACTAAGCGAGAGAGTAAAGCCTTAGAAAAACAACTGGATGCCAGAGAAATGCAAGAAACATTAGAATATATTGAAAACAAAGCAGCTGCCAATTGAAGCCTCACAGTAAGTCTGTGGGAAAAATTAAAAAATCACCATGAAAGTAAGAAGAACTACTAATCCAGACAGAAGCAACTATACAAAAAAAAGCAAGAAGCCCAGGTAAGTAAGTGTTGTTGGGGTGAAGGGTGAGGGAAGCTAGTGGAATATAGAGATCAACATGTGAATTGCTTATCCTAATCAGACCTGCATATACTATAGCACACATGTTACACAAGAAATCTTGCAAATAAGTTGCAAACAAGTTGCTTGGCTAAGCATTGAAGTGAAAATAAAATATAAAAATGCAAAGAGGCATACAGCACATAGGTAGGGTCGTTTTCCCACTATGTAGCCTCAGCTAAAATTGATGTCACTTACAATTCAAC